GAAATCGCATTTGTCGGATCTTGCATAAAGTCAGTTCTTTTGGAGATGTCGGAGAACTTTGCGGACATGTTCCCCATGTTCTTCCAGGTTGTTGGAATAGACTAAGATGTCGTCCAGATAGATGAGGACCGAAACATCAAACATGTTGCCAAATATATGGTTCACAAATCGCTGAAAAGCGGCTGGTGTGTTAGTGAGACCAAAGGGCATAACATGCCATTCAAAGGAACCGTATCAGGTCCTGAAGGTGGTTTTCCACTCGTCACCCTCTATAATGCGGACTAGATGGTAAGCATGTCAGAGATCAATTTTGCTGTAAATCCACACCTTTCTGGGGCTGTCCAGAAGGTTGGAAAGTCGAGGAAGCGGATATCGGTCTTTTTTTGTGATCTTGTTGAGACCACAGAAATTGATACAAATTTGGAGTCCACCTAATTTCTTCTTCGAGAATAGTACCAGAGCACCATGTGGAGAAAGTGAAGGGTGGATGAATCCTATGGCTAGTGCCTCATCAATGAATTTTCAGAGTGTTTCTAGCTCAACTGGAGATAGGGAATAAATAGTTCCCAAGGGGGGACTCTCTCCCTCTATCAGGTCAATCTTGAGATTGTACAGTCAATGATCGGCGAGGATATCTGCGTTCTTCTTGCTGAAGACCTCAGATATTCCAATGGAACACCATCGAGATTGGCTGTCAGATTGGGATTCGAGGAAGCATCAATGATGGAAGCGGATCTTCCTTTTGGAATTACGTATAACTGAAAGATCTCCTCGTTATCTAGTTTGCAAAGGCGAGCAAACATGGATGCAGGGACTAAGTTGATAGGTGAGTCTTGTTTGGATGTCAGAGGGGCATCTGTGCGATCAAATTTCGGATTTCCAGAGACCACTGAGGCGGATTTCACAGAGAGTGACGTCGGAATTGAATCTTGCTGCTGAGGAATGCGGAACAATATACTATCCAATACCCAGTCAATCAACAGATTGTAGCAGGTGAGCCAGTTGTATCCTAGCACGACAGAGCAGCTAGAATCAAGTGGTGTTACATACATAGCAACAACCTGATTTTCACTGGATGGAAAGTGGATTGGCATATTGATAGTCTGCATGATTGAGATGTTAGAAGTGCCATCGAAAAGCTTTAGTGGAATCTGCAGGATATTGCGGAATTCCACCAGAAGCTTGGAAGCAAACGATGAGTCTACAAAACAATGGGTGGAACCGGAGTCCACGAGAGCTTGGATATTAGTATTCGGAAAAATGTCGGAAGTTAACAGTATAGTAAGAGAATCAGATTTCGAAAGAGCGGAAGTGTTGAGTCGAACCTTGGAAAATGCACAGATGGAATCAACACAGCTCTGGGTCTGTGTGGAGGTCTCAGAGCTGCTTATTAATATTTTGAATCCATAACGGCTGCAGGTTCAACCTTGGACTCAGGTTTGCTCGGAATTGCGGAGGCCGCTCAGGCCTTTGATTGAGCATCAAGGGAAGTTGACCGTGGACAATCCTTCGCAATGTGTCCGGGTTTCCCACAGAACATACAAAGGTTTTGGTTCATGCGTTGCTGCCTCTCCTGCTGGGTTAGTTTGCCATCTTTTCCAAGTATGTTGGAAGTGTCCAGAGTTTTGCGGAAATTCAACGTGGAGGACTGAGGTTTGGTGGAAGAGGCAGAAGCTGAACTGTTATTGTTGTTGTTCATCCTCTTCTGCAACTGGTTTGAACAGGATTCTTGCTTGTCCAATTTGCTGCTGTTACCAGAGTAGTTATTGTTGGAAGTGGTGGTGTGATACACCTCACCTCATCGTTCCCAATAATGGCTGTTGATGGTTTGCACAAGTTGTTGGAGTCACGGAAGTGTGTCGGCTTTTTCCCAGGTTGCAAGAATATCTTTAATACGATCAGGAAGTTTAGTATAGAAACTCCTACAAAGAGTGGTATCGCCCCAAATGACTCTAGCAGCAAGGCAGTTGAACTCTACAATGAACTTCATAATGCATTGGTTGTTGCGCATTCAGAGATTGTCAAGTTTGGTTTCCACGCCACCGACCGGATTGTAAGCCCCGAAATTTTCTCAGAGTACTGTCGTGAAGTCCCAATAGCTTGTGAGCCAGGGTGGGTCTTGGAAGGTATCGTCATCTAAGAGTTCGGGCTCAAAAAAATCTAAAGCTGTCCCTTTTAGGAAAGAGATAGCGTCAGTAACTTTCACTTTGTCACTGGAAAAGGTCTGAGGACAGTCACAGAAGTGGAGTTTGCACTGAAGGAGGAAGGGATGGAGCTTTCAGTAATCTGATCCGTTGAAGGTGTCGGGTTCATGGAGTTTGGTTTTTCCGGCTTGACTTTTGTTTGGAGTTCCCATGTGCTTGGCTATCTATTTCAAAGCTTTTAGCATAGCCTTCCCGTCATCTTCTTCATCGTCATCATCATCCTCGTTGTTGTCAATGTTGTCGTCATCACCGGGATCGTCTTCCGGTTTGTCGTTCGGAAAGTTGGATCTGGGGTTTGTGTTTCTGGTGATAGTATGGGATCTGGTCAAAGGCATAATGAATGGATCAAGAGTTTCAGTTCGAATATACTGTTATGAACTAGATTTCTTCTTGTCGGATGTCAGAGTTATTGGAATGTTGGAGTTCGGGGTTCAGAGTCAGGGTTGGAGTGTACGGACGTCAGCTTCAACTTATAGGTTGCACCCTCTTGAATCCTTTGTGTCCTGGTATTTTGGAGGGTTGGGATATCAGAGAAGTTGGAGTCAGAGAACAGAAAGTTGGATAAGCCTTAGAGATGGAAGTGAGAAGATATTGAGTCAAGGTAGGTCAATATTCAAACTGAAGAACGAAGTACATGGAGGGGTCATATATAACGAATCAATATGGTCCGAATCGGAAAGATATGAAATGTGGAAATCTGAAATGGAGCAAATACGGGATTGGGGTAAAAGTAAATATGGACATAAGACCGAAGATGTAGATCTTGATCAGAATGACTAAATATAGATGGGACGGGGATAAGTAGAACGGGTGGAGTAAATCAGAAATACAGATCAGAATATCTTGGAGAAAGTGGAAAAGCTGGGAATGAATCTGGGTTCTAACATCTCAACAGAGTCAAGTGCTTCGACATATTGTGCATTTTCTCATTGCAGAGTGACCATACTGGTTGCTGGGATTACAAACTGACATGGGCCTGCCTTTGGCCATAGAACAAAAGATGAGGTTGGGATCTTGCCAGCAACTGGATCAATCATTAAATCCAGGAATTGAGGGACCCATCAAAAATAGACATGCCGCATATTCTCTTCTTCTCTCTATCAACTTCATCAGGAGCTGATCATTTCTTGTTTGCATTCTTGGATGCTTTGCTGCCTTATTAGTTGTACAACCATTGATCCATGTGTCAACTGCGGTTTGGCACAATGCCATGGCGGCCGAAACAGTTTGGGAAACTTGAGGGTCTCTGTTCTGCCCTGTGAAAGCCAATGTTGTCAAGTGACTGGAAGAGTCTTCTGAACAATAAATGTTGATGTACGAACCAATTTACAAGTGCCACAAAGGCGAGGGTTCCCTGGTGGAAGTTTTCGACCACCAACCCCACAGTCCTTGCAGCAAGGCCATTTCTAATCAGGTTATTAGCATCCCCCATGTGAACTGAATGGTTTTACTAGTATGTACTTGCATATCCTCATACAGTACTGAATCAGTCTCTCGAACTTTTTGAAGGCATGAACAAAATGCACAGATTCCCAGAAGTGACTTGTTGGGATAAAAAGAACAGCAGGAATTACAGTAAGTTAGATCTTCTTCCAGTGGGAGCTGGTCTGGCAGCATCTGTTCGGCATCTGGTGGGGGTGGGATTGACACGAGAGACATGTATAAAACCTGAACGGATGAGGACATCAATATATATCATGATCAGTGTGGAAGATGTGGATGGACCACTCACAATTCCACATCAATGCTGAAACCATTTGATTCAAACAAATTACCGAAGGTGCAAGGGCTGCAACTGCACAAGGATTTTTTTATGATGCACAACTTGAAGCACTTTATTCTAATGTGCATGCTGTCCTGATAGATTCTGACTTTGTCCCCTCCCGAGCTAAATGAGGAATGCAGAGCTACACAATTTGTTAACACTGGGTGTAGCAGGCAATATGAGGAGCAGTAGGAGCTATTATTATTGTATTTTCGAGACTGCGCTGTGGTCAGTTGTGTTCAGGTGCGGAGATGAAATCGAACCACGTCCTTCTGGCATACCATACATTGTTGCATTTTCCTTCCAAAGTACCACTGTGAACTGAATTTTACAGAGTTCTTCTGGGCAGTCAAGCAACATCTCCGTGACAACTGTGACTACACATTCAACACTTTGAAGAAAAACATGCCATTGGCACTACGTTCTGTCAAGATAGAGACAATATGTAAGTGGGAGCATCATATGATTTGCTGGATGGATGCATACCGAAGTGGCCAGGCTCAACTGCAAGTCTGAAACTTCAGTTCTCACAAATATAAATCACACAGGCAGGTCCCAGAGCGTGTTGCAAGCAGTTTGGATGCATAGGAGCTTATTGTTATGTTAGGAGGGCCACTGTAGGGTGGTTACAGTGGTCTAGAAAGGGTTTTCAGGCACAAAATTCACAGGTAATTAATTGCTCACTCAATATTCACTCTATCAACTATCGGCCTAGGGGTTATGCTCTACATATCAAAAGATGTGTTTTCGCTAAGTAACCAAGAAAAAGGAATTGCAGAAGTCCCAAAACTGTTGCACAAAACTAGTGGTGACTAAGTGACCTGCACCATAGTCAAAATCCAGCACCCTAACATCACTATATATGGCAATATGCCATCAGATTCCAGAAACACCAGATATAGATGGGGGTTATGCAGGACCTGCATCTGACATACCCAACGGACTATAAAAACAAAATTTTCCAATTATGTAATAAAATTAATATTTAAAAAAAATTAAATGGTCACAGTGGGACTTGAACCAAGAAAAAATGATCAGAGTGGGATTCGAACCCACGCCCCCGAAGAGATGAGATTATACAGTGCCTTAGTCTCACGCCTTAGACCAACTCGGCCATCTGACCGTTAAAATATTCGCGGCACTGTTTAGATATAGCATGCCTCTGGCCTCACCAATTACTCGGATCCTTCTTTCTAAATTAGTCGCGAAGACATGCCTGTGTGCCCCAAAGGCACCTTTACAGCTTGGTTGCTGCGACGCCGACCTCAACCTCGACGATGTCGGCGACTGCAGCTGCACACTCGAACACTGTCCCAGCAAAGTACAGACCGTGAGTCTACTAGTAGACTCGGCGTCCTCGCATGCTTATGACGTCGTCGTGCACAGCGTTGGCGTAGCGCTCGCCATTGGCTCTGGTATCCTTATTGGCTCTTCTTTCGTCTTCAAAAAAAAGGGTCTCCTAAGCTCTCAGAAGGGACATGCTGCTGGCGAAGGTGTTGCTTATCTCAAGAGTGTGAGCCAGTGTCGTGGAATCATGGTCTTCGTACACTGATAAGCCGTGCAGCCCCTTTGGTGGACAGGCATGACTATCATGATCCTAGGTGCGAGCGTACATTTTCATTTCTGTGAAGGCTGCTCAAGCTTCTCCTCAGGCGAAATTTGCAACCTTGTTGCTTATTCTTTCCTAGAAGGTTTCTTGATTTTTTTGAACATATGCAACCACTGACTAACATTCTCTCAGCCATCGTTGTTGTATGTCAGAATCCGCTGTCTGTATGCCCTTACCCCTTACTGAGAATGAAGGACAGACCCCCATGGGAGCGCTCTCGGTCGTTATCTGCGCCGTGCTCTCGCATATTTTTCTCCAGGAGAAACTCTCTCTTTTCGGGTGGATCGCATCTATTCAATGCATTATTGGCGCGACCATCCTCGCCTTAAACGGACCAGAAGAACAAAGCGTCACGACTATCGCAGCATTTAAGGCGCTTTTTCTCGCACCAGGCTTCCTCTCATATGGTTCTGTGATTATTGCTGCTGCTGTCGTTCTTGCTCTGTTCGTTGCCCCTCGATGGGGAAAGCGTAGCATGCTTCCGCACATTGGTATCTGCAGCCTTATCGGCGGCCTCAGCGTGAGCTGTACTCAAGGCCTCGGCGCATGCATCGTCACGAGCATCCGCGGAGAGAACCAATTCAAGGTAAACGGTACTAGCCATGACTTGTTGGCCTCGACTAAGCACTGCGTGGTCATAGAATTGGTTCATCTACTTCCTTCTCGCCTTTGTCGTCGTCACACTCCTTACAGAAGTTTATTACCTCAACGTCGCCCTCGCCATGTTCAACACGGCCATGGTAACGCCCACGTACTACGTTGTAGGTTTCCCCACCCTTGCGAAATCACAACATCTCTCACCCTTCGCAGATGTTCACATTTTGTACCCTCGTCACGTCCGTCATCCTCTACCAAGGCCTCAAAGCCAGCGCAACCCAAATCATCACCGTCGTGCTCGGCTTCTTCGTCATCTGCACCGGAATCTTCATCCTCCAAATGTCCAAAGTCGACCCGCGTGAACTTACCAACGTCGACCGCCGCACAACACTCCTCCTACAGGCAGCGCGCGCCGAGATCGACCCTAAGAGTGCCAGGGACCTCGAGCGTGACGGTACATTCACCTCGCACACCTCACGCCGCCGCATTGCTACAAGCACGCACTCGCACCCACGGAATCACACTCCCGTAGATGGGGCAGACCTCGAGGCTCTGGCCGATCACCCCGTTCTATACGATAACGAGGAAGGGGGACCGGTATATTCGGATTCCGAAGACGAGACGAGAGCTGTCGTCGAGAAAACAGAAGACCCGGGTATCGATGCGCTTCGCGGCACTTTTGGAGCATTCGGAAGTATCATCCGTGCACGTCGGCGCGCAACTGTGCTTTCCCAGGCACGTGGTGCGCGAAGCAGGACGTCGAGCAGTGGTATGGGTGACGGCGCTGGGAACGGGACAATATCTAAGGAAAACGGCGATGACGAAAAGACGGACTTAAGACGGCATGCTCTCACGCGGGCTACTATTAATGGGGACGGACGGGTCCTGGTCTCGTCGCCGCTATCGACGCCAGATTCACGGCGGACAGCAAGTGCAAGTGTTCACTTTCTTGGGGGAGGCTCAGCTCCTGTGACATTGGAGCGATGCGATCAACACGAGCTCGATCCAATGGCACAGGCTGGTGCTGCCGTGAGGGAGGCAGCGAGGACTCGAGCGCGGACATTGCCCATAACACCACTACCAAGCGGAAAAGATACTACATTTCCAAGTAACGAGACACGATCATCTTAGCAGTGTATCTATTTACATTTCACGACATACATGTTTGATGTGCATTACGACGGATGGGAAAATATGAAAGATCTGTTCGTGGTAAACATACAAGAGGTAATTGTGAGATCATGTTCGGTTGTATAAACCAAATATAGTGAGAGGCGAAATGTACGATATTCAAAACAATTTAAAACATAGTTGCGCCCATGCAGAATTTGTAAACAAACTAGTAAGAAAAGGTAGGGTCAGTACATTATAATACTCAGGACGGATAATACAGCTTACAATGAGTCGTCACCGCGGAGGGAACCTCTCTCGTGCGTAGTACGGCGGAGAACGTGGCGGAGGCATATCACGCCTCGGAGGGTACGGTTCTGGCGCCCGGTCCCTATTATACGGAGACGGATCTCGCGGATTCACCAGCCCCGGTGCACGAGGATCGTAATACGACGGTGGCGACAGTGCCCTCGGGGGATACTCTGCCGGCGGCCCGCGTCTCGCATCGTCAAAGTAAGGCGGCCTCGGGGGCGGTTCGTATTCGTCCCTAGCCCGCTTAGGGGCCCGGTGCGTATCATCGAAGACTCCAGGACGTCGGGTGGGACTGGGGCTCCTCTGTCTCACACGCGGGTTATCCCGATAGTTGTCCCGCATCACCACGTCCTCATTTGGTAAGGGTGGATACCGTGCACGCTCAGCTACGTCGCGCGGAACAAAGCGGTCGTCGTAGTTGTCAGTTAGGCGTGTGTGCAGTGGGCGGTGAGGGTGTGTGTGCGAGTGCGGGGCTGCGTCTTCCCACCGCGACGGAGGCGCTCCGGACCCCGCATACTTCCTTTCCGGCCCACCCCAGCCCTCATATCCGTCTCGCTCTTTATCCTTATCGCGTGCCTCAAGCGAAGGTCGGTCCCGGTCCCACGACGCAGGTGGCGCCGGTGGGGGGCGGCCTCGTGGATGGACGTCAACATCAGCCGAACGAGGATCACGATCTCTTCCATATACATCGCTGTGCCAGTCGCGCGCGTCAGGATACCTACGAGGACGATCACGATCACCATCCGCGCTAGAGTACGAGGCGGGCGGGTAGCCCTCTCGCTCACGCCACTGGCGGATCTCTTCGCGGCGCTCGATCACTGGAGGGACAGGCGACTGCGGGGGTGGGTAAAAGCCGTCGGAAGCACGGCGGGGAGGGTTGGCATCTAACGGCGGGCGTCTAGAGTCTTCGGGATAGCCACGTGGCGGAATCACAGAGACAGACGGCGGGGGCGGCTCACGATAAGACGTTGAGTTCATAGACAAACTCCTATCCCTAGGTGTGTCGTATGGGGGATCTGCAGGACGGCGGGCTCCTGGAGACGGCGCACGAGAGAGTGGACGAGGGGCTCCTGACCCCGATGTTAGATTGGGATAGAAGGGCCGAGAGTCACGAATATCGTGTGTTTGGGAAGCACGAGACTCAGGCGGTGGAGGCGCCCTAGAAGCTGGAGGGTCGGATAGACGAGAAGTATGTCGATCTGCTGGTGGACGAGGCGCATTGTTATCCAAGGATCCTCCTATTGAAGGACGACCAGCGGTTCGGTCAGTGGCAGAGTCCGGACGTCGATTCATCTCAGGCGACGGAGGACCAGATCTCAGGGTGCTCATGCCAGAAAGGACACGCTGGTCAGAAGAAACAGAGCGCAGACCAGTGTGATCATCAGCAGACGAAGACGAGTGTTGCTCAGCGCGATGGGGATTAGGCGGTCCATTTCCAGGTGCAGGTTGCGGTAATGAAGGCGTATGGAAATGGACACCGTCACGGTCATGTGGGTGAGTGGGATATGGCGTGGTGGCAGGCTCAGGGCGCCGTTGCTCGACAGCTAGAGAGGCAGCCACTGGAACAGGTTGTGACATATTTGACTCAAGGCGGCGAGACTGTTGCTCTGGATGTGCGATACCTACAGAAGGACGTTGCTCAGAAAGTTCGGAATCTTCTGGACGGCGGAGCTGGGAATGAGAAGCTGGTTCAGAATTTCGTTGCTCCAGATGCATAGTGGCCTCCTGCTGTCGCTGCTCTGGATGCGGAGATACTTTTGTGCGCTCAAGATGTGGATTATCTTCAGGACGACCATGTTGTTCTGTTGCCTGGCCTAGCCCGGGAACAGGGTGTTCGTCGAGAGGTACAAGAGCCTTCTCGTCAACATTTGCAGGAGCAGATGGAAGAGGTGGCGGCAACGGTGGTCGTCGATCGATAGGTCTGCCAGCTCTGTCATACTCAAACCTGTCGCGCGGACGGTCCCTCTCCCTGTCTCTATCACGCTCCCTATCCCTGTCCGCTTCCCAATCTCTGTTTCTGCCCCAGTCACGATCCCTATCATATCTCGAGTCAGGATAGCGTGGCGGGTATCGCCCAGCATCGCGACGATCAGATGGCTGAGAGTACCTGGGAGGGTCAAATGGTTGATATCCTGAACGCTCACGTTCACGTTCACGATCCCGGTCGCGATCATACCCTCCAGGGGACGGAGCATCAGGAGGGTCATCTCTGTGTGGAGCAGAACCCTTTGCATCAGGAGCACTTACTGCAGTCATTGGTGGCGGTTTGCTAACGCCCGCATTATCGGTCACAGATGCCATAGAGGCAGTCGCAGGCATCGGAGGCGGAACATGATTCTGATCGTGGTTAGACCCAGAAGCGCCAGAGGGATGGGTTGGACCTCGGGGATACTGCTGCTGAGGGGGAAGCGAAGTACTAGGCTTGGCACTGCTTGGAGGCAGTGGGCTTGGGGTAGAGGACCTAAAATCATGAATTTTGGGAGGGATGCTGACAT